GCATTAATTTCGTTTTGCATACTGTAAATAACATTTTATTTATTTTCACCTTATTTTTTCGCCTTGTTTTATTTTATTTCCGTCATTTTGAAGGAAGAGAAGGTTTTCCCGATAAAACAGTGTCACTATAGAGAACGATTTTTTGTCTTCCATCCGTATGACTGATGCTAACCTCGATTAAAGCAACACATTGCGCCTTCTTAGGCTCAAGTTTTCCCCTGAAATAAAGTGGAGTCATTATATTGAATTAATTGCTAGGTTTGCTGCTAGGAAAATCGATTAACTATGTTGCGTCAGATAATTTTTCTCGTCAGAATCCATCTTGTTCATTTATAAATCTACCATTCTTCCGTACATTGGAAACTGCTGCCATATCTGGTCTGATGTTCCTTCTCTTATCTCGAGATTCTTAATAAATTCAAAGACGGGTCTGTAAGTTAATCGATTCTGACCAGGAATCTTGACTTTAGTCTCTTTCTCACTGATGTGACGTGGCTTCCCTTCGCCTTTTCTATAAATATTTTCATGGCAACTACTCTGGGAGCTGCAAGGGATAGAGGGAAGTGGAAAGCCATGATCGCCTACATCCTGAAAGCATACGGCACATAGAAAGAAAAGAAGTGGAGTGACTGTATTGAATCAATTGCTTTGTTTACTGCAAGGAATGTCTGATCACTGTGCCGTGCCAGGAAATTCTTTCTCTCCAGAATCCATCTTGTACATTTATAAATCTACCATTCGTCCGTGCATTGGAAACTGCTGCCATATCTGGTCTGGTGCTTCTGCTGTAGTGATTTTCCAAGCGTAGCTTAGATGTGGCACAAGGCCGAAAGTAGGGGGCACCCAGTGAGGAACGAACTCACTACTCAGTCGTAAATGTTCTAGCGAGACAAGCTTGCTAACCATTACACCGCCTAGAGGTGCTGTATATCTCGAGATTTTTGACAAAATCCAAAGAAATATTTGTCATGCAATCGATCCTGTTGGTCCACATCTGCTTCTTTCGTTCTTTTTATGTATTTGCTATGCAACGCTTTGTCCTCCCAGTTTTTTTTTTTGGAGGGGGGGGGTGTAATTTCATTTGACCAAGTTGTTTTGCTTTCTGTTTTACTCATTTGGCGTAGATGGTATTCGCTTATGTTTTTGTTGGTAGGATTTCAGATATGTTAAGCTGTTTGTTATTATTCCTAATACTACTACTACTACAATAATTGCTATTTTTAGTGGGCAAATATATTTGAATTGTCAGTTTTTGTTATTTTCTTAAACAGTGAAATTATGAACATTGAGCAGTCCTACTAAGGAAAAATGTGCTTCTCGATAGAAATCTGTCATGTGTCCCATTTTACTATGTCGGAAGCGTGCCGTTACTAATTTAGTCAAGGGAAACCATCTTGATATTAAAAAAAGTTCTTTTGATTTTTGTCCCAACTAGAGTCCTAAGTTCAGAAAGTGTATCATGAAAATTTCTGTAAAACACAACATGAAAAAATAAACAACCTAACAACACACACATAGAGTGTCTTAATCACAGTAGCGACATCAAGAATTATATTCCCGCTACTAATAAGCTTAACTCGCTTGAAGGTGACCTTTGCATGTTTATCTAGTCTAAATTCCATGCATATATTATCACTGAAGCTTCACCATCATTTCTTGCGTATAATTTCAAGTCACGTCCTGGGTATGACGATAAATTACATTCGCGTCCTGGGTAAGATGATAAACTACATCCGTGTCCTGAGTAAGACGATAAGCTACGTCCGCGAACTGGGTAAGACGATAAACTACGTCCGCGTACTGGGTAAGACGATAAACTACGTCCGTGTCCCGAGTAAGACAATAAACTACATCCGTGTCCTGGGTAAGACGATAAACTACATCCGCGCCCTGGGTAAGACGATAAACTACATCCGCGTCCTGGGTAAGACGATAAACTGCATCTAACAGCAAGGTCTCTAATCAGGAGGTTTTGAGGAGCGTGGATCCACCTCTTAATTGCTCGTGTTCCCAGGTCCACCCTGACCCGGGGTGGTAGCACCTGTTAGGGCCCCAATATATAAATAATTAACACCCAAACTTGAGTAAAAATAGGTTTTAATACCAGAAATACTTTGTAATAAAAAAAATTATTACCAGCAATAATTTTTGAAGGAAAAATTATCAGCAATACTTTAAAAAAAAATACCAGCAATACAAACAGCTATACATTCTTTGGAAAAAATATGACCAGCTATAGATTTCTTCAAGGAAAAATAGTCCCAGAAATAGATTTTTGAAGAAAAACATTACCAGCAATAAAAATTTTGTCGGCATTAAATAACCTATTGAGTTTGATATGCCGTACAACAAAACAAACTAAACCAAACCTAATTTCAAGTCATCCATATATAATAAATGATTTATCTTTGTATCATTAAACTTTATCCCATATACTGTACTATTTACCGGTTTTCATAAAGGAATTAATAGCAAATAAAAAAGGAGCGGATATATAATATCTCCATATTATTATTATTATTATTTCTTTTTTTTATTTCTGTGGTATAATCATTTCTTTCCTTGTTCCAAACACCGATCTAAAGTCAGAAATGGCGTTATGACATTTTGTACTGAGCATTATTGCAAAGAAACTAAATAAAATAAAATAAACAAACTAAGATCACATATATTTTACATATATAAAGACCTTTGTAAGGTGTGAACTATACTTGTGAGTATAATTTTTTGTGTTTCTTTAAGGTCTTGTCTACCAAGAATCCCTTTAATGAGTCTATCGGGAACTTTTCCAATCAATCAAAGGACGCCAACTACAGCTGGTATCATTGATGTCCTCGTGTGATACATTATTATTATTATTATTATTATTTTTTATTTTCTTTGATTTCTGGCGTTTACACATTTCTTTCCGGGTCCCGCCCAGGGACCTAAGGTTAGAAATGGCGTCATGACACTTTCCACTGACAAAAAAAAATTTAAATAACATAGATAAAGCCCTTCGTAAGGTGTGGGCTGTACTTGTCAGAACAATTTTTTGTATCTCCTTGAGGCATGGACTTCCAGGAATCCCTTCAATTAGTCTACTGCAATCTTTTCCAACCAGTCGTAGGGCTCCAACTACAACAGGGATTGTTGATGTTCCCATATGCCACATTTTCGAGATTTCTATTTCACGGTCCTTGTACTTTGACAAATTATTATTATTATTATTATTATTATTATTATTATATTTCCTTTGATTTCAGGTGTGTACTCATTTCTTTCTGGGTCCCGCCAAAAAACTAAGGTCAGAAATGTCATCATGATATTTTCCACTGATCACATTTTTTAAAAACAATCACACATAGTTTACATAGACAAAACCCTTTTATAAAGTGTGGGCTGTACTTGTGATTACAACTTTTTGTATATCTTTAAGGCATGGTTTACCTGGAATGCATTTAATGAGTGTATCGGGACCTTTTCCAATCAATCCGAGTGCTCCAACTACAGCTGGTATCATTGATGTTCTCACGTGCTACATTTTTGAGATTATTATGATTATTATTATTATTATTATTATTATTATTATGATTATTATTTCCTTTGATTTCAGGTGTGTACTCATTTCTTTTCGGGTGCCGACCACAGACCTAAGGTCAGAAATGGCATGATGACATTTTCCACTGATCAGTTTTGGAATTAAAAATCGCTCCTATTTTACACAGAAAGAGGTGTGAGCTGTACTTTGTGAGTACAATTTTATCTTTAAGGCATTTGCAACCAGGGATCTTTACAATGAGTTTATCGAAATCTTTTCCAAACAAACCGACATCACCAACCACAACTGAAATTATTCATGTCCTCATGAGCCACAATTTTGAGATTTTCACTTCAAGATCCTTGTATTCCAATAGTTTTTTGAAGCTCTTCAAAGATACATTGCAGTCTGCAGGAACTGCCATGTTGATGAGAAAACACATTATTATTATTATTAATAATAATAATTATAATAATAATAATATTAATATTATCATTATTATTATTATTATTATTATCATTATTATCCTTATTATTATTTTTATTTCCTTTGATATCTGGCGTTTACACATTTCTTTCCGAGTCCCGCCCAGGTTAGAAATGACATCATGATACTTTCCAGACAAAAAAAAACAAAAAAAAATTACATGGACAAAGCCCTTCGTAAAGTGTGTGCTGTACTTGTGAGGACATTTTTTTGTATCTCTTTGAGGCATGGGCTTCCAGGAATCCCTTCCATTAGTCTACTGGAATCTTTTCCAAACAATCCTAGGGCTCCAACTGAAACAAGGATTGTTTATGTTTCCATGTGCCACATTTTTGAGATTTCGATTTCCAGGTCCTTGTATTTTAATAGCATTTTGAAGATCTTCAAAGTCACATTGCAGTCTGCAGGGACCGCCATATAAATAAGGAGGTAATTTTTTGTTTTCGGTCTCTAATAACAATATCTGGGCGGTTGGCTTTGATTATTCTGTCAGTGTGTATTGTGTAGTCCCATAGAATTGTAACAGGTCTTATCTCCGTAACCGGGTCTGGGTGGTGTTCATACCAGTTTCTTTCAGTTTCCTTCCCGTAGAAGTTGCAGATTTTTCATTATTATCATTAACATTATTATTATTATTACAACCAGAAATAGAAAAATGTCGGAAACAGCTTCAATGGGGAGATAACTTCGTTTCACTGTAATTAAGTCAGTGAGGTCTCATTTGTTGGTATGGCAACGAGGTAGCAGAGTGCAGAATTGAAAATATACGGAATTTTTATGATCGGGGTACTTAAAATACTTTTAAGTCGGCTGCATTTATAAAAGGGGCGGGGATAATAGACATAGGTGGTCAGGGAACGAAATAAAAAGAAAAAGGGGAAAGTTAAAAAAAAAAAAATGAATAAAGAATTAATTGTCCTGAAAGGCATTAAAAATTGAAAGATGAAGAAAAAGAGATTTCATTTTTTTTATTTTTTTTTTTAGCAGTGATGAC